CCAGGGAAAGCTTCCAACATCCGCCCGCGCTGCCGAGTCACAGTGAGTGGCCAGCACCTCAGTGTCCCGTCCAAGTTGCGCCCACTGCACATCACTGCGCCGATCGGGTAACTGAAGTCTGAATGCCGATCCTTTCCCTTTTCCTCATCTTCCATCCCTTTTTTAAAGTTCAGTGGAGACCCATGCCAACAAACACCCTGCCTGCCTCCACGGTGCCTTGGATGTCTTGGATTTCGATGGTTTTGCGATGGTAAGCGTGGCGCTCCTACACCAAAAATCAATGCACATCCTGGGGTCTCAGGGTTGGGTTTCTTGTGTAATGTTTCTTGTTGCCGGGCCCCGACTGTAACTCTCCCCTGTCGCACCCCCAGACGTGTCGGCACACATTGTGAATGTCTAAGTATTTTGAACATTCGTTGGTTTTTTGGGGGGGCAAAGATCCTTCCATTTCTAATCGTTCTATCCTGAGCCTCTTCTTGGCCACTAGGGAGCCAGGAACAACTAGACACGAGCACAACTAGAAATGAGCACGATCAGAATTGAACGACGTGTAGGGCGGGCCAGGCGTTCTCCCTCAGCCCTTCTCACGATGCATGATCTGGAAGCCTGGAATCCACCACAGCTTCATGGGTGGAGGGTGGGCGGTTTCAAGACGTGGCGTTCGCCTTATCGCCGCGCGCATTCGTCCTAACATGTGCATCAGCTTCCACGATGGCGGACGGGCCGGGTTAAACATGTGACTCTCGCCTAAGCGCCGCGTACATTCGTTTTAGAGAGTGCAGTGGCTTCAAGGGGGGAGAGCGCTTCCTTCTCGAAATGCGGTTCTCGCAGTGAAGGCGCGCACGTTCATGTTGAACGTTTGCAGCCGTTTCGAGGTTTCCTCTGTTCGAAGTAGCAGGAACGGCGTTCTGGCGCGAGTCGGGAACATCAGGTCGCAACAGTCACGTTGAATCGCGGTGTTCAAATCCCAAGCATCGTATTCTGACACGAATTGGGTCTGCTAGGACGCAACAGTCACGTCCGCTCCTGGCGCTTAAATATCAGGAATTCTGTGTTGGCCCGATTGAGGAGTCGCAGACGGTTGTGTTCCAATGGGGCATTTCCCGCAATTAATATACAATATTGTAGGGACCTGTGAACAGGGAACACGGATGGAGGGTGTATTGCAGCATTGTTGATGCGTCTTTGGTTTGTGTTGGTGTTGATCCATCTTCTCTCCCTCCTGCTCTCTTTCGCCCTCTTAATCTTCTCTCTCGATCCTACCTTTTGCTCCGCCCTCCTTTTCCCTCCCGCTCCCTCTCCCCTCTCCTCGCCCCTCCTTCCCCTTCCCTTCCCTGCCGTGGTGACGGGGGGTCTTTGGGGTGCGGTCTTGGACCGAAGGGTTCCTCAGAACCGCCCTTCAAGAGCGGGCTTGAGTCCGTGCACTCGGCGGCCTCCCGAGTGTTCTGCGTGGCTGTCCGTCGTGTGGGCCCGCTAGAGCCCTCGCCGGCCTTCCTACGAAGGTCGGGGCTGGGACAGGCCAGAGTTTCCAGGGGTCGCCTGCTGCCTGGCAGCTTTGCTGAAGAGGTCGTGCCCGCGGCCCTCCTCCCTCCCTCCCCCCCTTCCTCCCTCCCTCCTCCCTCCTCCCCTCCTCCTTGCCCCTCACGACCAGCCCTCCTCCCTCCCTCCCCCCCCTCCTGGCCCCTCCCCCTCGCCGCGGCCCCTCGCCCGTCCTCTCTCCTTCCTTGCCTTTCCCCGCCCACCCCCCTCCCCCCGCGTAGAGACGGGCGCGCGGCCGCGTGCGGCCGCGCGCGGAGGCGGTCGCCAGCGCCGCCGCCCTGGCGACCCAGGAGGACTCCGAGAAGCTCCTGGAGGCGGGCCTTTCCGGCGGTCGTGGGCGGGTCGGCGGCCAGCGGTCGACGGCGGCGGCCGACGGTCGAGGTGTCTTCGACCTCCCACGTACTGAAGAGCTCATCGTCTTCGAATTCCGCGGGGCGCCCGCCCGGCCCCAGGACCATCAGAGAGTGACTCGGGATGCAGCGTTTGCCCTCGGGAGGGGATCGGGGCACTTCGGGGGCCCTGCATGGGAGAAACAGGCATGCACCGGATCCTTGGATTCGTCGCCACGGAGACGACGGGGTCCTGAGGGGAAAGGCGGTGCGCCGTCAGGGAGGGCCCGGCGCCAATGCGAGGATCCCGCGCGGGCCTCCGAGAGTCTGAGCCCTGTGCCAATGTGGCCCTCTTCTAGCGAGTGAAGCCCTCGGTGCTCACTTCCTCTCCCTCCTCTTCCTCCTCGCCTCGCCTCTTCCTCGCTCCTCCCTCTCGGTCGGTCGACGGTCGACAACGCCGTCGCCTCCCCCTCCCCCTCCTCCTTCTCCTTCAGGCCTCTTCCTCCCTCCGCTCATAGTTATCGCATCGCCCCCACAGTGTCAGGATTAGGTTCGACCATACGCATCCCTCCCTCCCTCCCTCCTCCTTCCCCTCGAGGCGGGCCCTCCGCCGACGACGGCGACTATGACGACGGCAGTGGCGACGACGACGACGACGACGATCATGGCGGCGGCTGTCGAGTGGAGGGATGTGGTGGTGAGAGCGTTGGTTTGAGCACCATGTCGTGCTCCGTCGTGGAGGTGGGGGGGAGTGAGGGTTGGAGCGAGGAGGGAGCCGCAAAGAGCGAGGTAGGTGGACGCAGCCTGGAGGCGCATACGTCTGGGGAGACTAGCGCGCTTGCTTTACTGAAGGAACGTTGTGCTGCAGTGGCGTGGGCACGCAGCCTGCCAAAATGAGACAGGCGCAGTACGGAGGGGGAGCCATCATGACCTTTTCAAGCCTACACCACACGGTTGTGGCTGACCGAGGGCGAGGTTGCGACAGGCCTCCCCTCAACCACATTAGCCGGAGTCGTCTGACCCCGCAGCCATAGTGGCAGCAACAAGGGGGAGGTCGTTCCCCTCCTCACGGAGTGATTCCACGACTCGCTTGAGCTGCCGTGCGGCGTTTTTGCTGCAGCGGCTCCCTGGGGCGTGCCAGGGACATCTCTCAAAGGTGCAGTGCCTCGCCTGCGCCTTTATATCACTTCCTTCCCAGGGGGAGGAACTGGCAGGGACGACTCCCGCAGGTACATCGCCTCGCCTGCCCTGTGCACTACAGCCAAGCGCAGCAGGGACGGCGTCAAAGGGCACAGACGGCGGCTCTGAGACATGTAGGGCCTTTCCAGACTTGGGGTCGAGTCCACGGGCAGCATACTTAATCTTCAGAGCCTGGTCAGCACGGGTACTCGGTCGGGCGTTGCGCCCATTGCATTGCAGGCAAAGCTCACGACAAGATCCGTCAGGCGAAATCATATACGCATTGCAAACGGAACAGCAAACACCACGGCCAGCATGTTCCAAAGCGACCCGGGCCCTCGAACGATTCCACAACTAAAGCTGGTAGTTCGCAGGGGTCACCGATTTCGGGGCCCCAAGAAACTCGCCCGCCAATACCCACGCATCTTGGACGGCCTCACTGGCCATCGGGGTCCTGCAGTGTGCTCGTTGGCAAGAAAGAACTCGGCAGCCTGCCATGCTTGGGCCGCCGCGGGCCCACACTCTTTCCCACTGCCAGATTGGAGCTGGGGGAGAGACGTCGGCGTAATGGCGAGCAGGTTGCGTTTTGGGAACTTGCGCTCGCCCCTCTCAGGAAAGTGGTACAGACCATGCTGAGACAGACATGCCTGCGGTGCCGTATCCGCTCGGACTTGTAGAAACCGCTGGGGTATCAGCTAGCGTCGCTACAATAGACTGAGCAAATCTGCTTACAAACACGAAATCACGTTCGGTGTCAGCAAGCGAGAGCCATGGCGCGAGTCTCTGCAAACACGCGCGCGGGGGAACAAAAAAAAAAAACACGCAATTCCCAGCAAAGGCCTGGATGTTATGGGCGCGTCGAGGAAGTCGGCTCAAGGTTGTTTTTAGTCATTGTGCGTTTTCGCTTAGACGAAGGATGGCCTCAAACAGGAGCCTTCATACAAAGCAAAAGTCGGCCTTCGAATCCCAGCATGCTTAGAACGGCCCTGTTCGAGCGAAGAGTCCCAAGACTCGCTCTCCACCGCAGCTCCTAAGCGGTCTGAAACAATCACCGCGTCGCGGGGACCGAGCCGAAGCGGCACCGTTCGGCACCGCCCAGCGAGGGGGCCGAACACCGCGCGGCGAGCAAGCCCATCAGGGCCAAGGCCCACAGTAGCGTACCACACCGTCTAAGCTCACCGTCAGCGTGGATGCGACTTGCTCCAAAGCGCTCCGGCCGCAAGAATAGATGGGAGGTCGGGGGGGCGGCCGGGGCCTCGGAACAGGGGCAATTGACACTATGCCATGCGCGGTCTTGAGCGTGCCCCAGTCTGAGCACTTCAGCCCGCTATCCCCTTGCTCCCGACGCATCCTCCTCCAGTCCACGGCGTCGTCGGGGTGCGCTGATCCGGCGCTTGTCGGGCACTCGAGCGTCTCGTCGCAATCGTAATGCAGGTGGCTGGGGGCCCCTGGGACTCATGTCGAACAAGTCTGGCACTGGTCCGACTGACGTCAACCCGCTGCTTTGCGCCGAGGCGGCGGCCGCGTTGCCGACCCAACCGGGCACTCGGCTGCCCCTTGACGCTAGGTCTGAAATTCTAGGAAGTGCCATGCCGGAGCCCCCTCACCCACGGGGCAATCTACATCGGGCGCTTCAGGGGCACGCTGCAACGTGCGCTTGCCCTGTCGACGCTGCTCGCTGAGCTTAAGCGCGGTGCGCGCATCGTTGGGCGGTCAAGTATGGGGGGGGGGGGACCTGGCAAGCATCGCCCACCACAATGCGGGCTGCTGACGCGCCCCAGCCCGCGCGACGCAAGCTGCTCCTAATTGCTGAGGTAGGGCCTTTACGCGCGCGCCGTGTAGAGTTGGCGTCGATTTCGGATTAAATGTTGAAAGGCCCGCTGCAATCTGGCAGGAGGGAGACCTTGGAATTCCCAATCATAGCTGCGCATCTGCGTGCGAGCGGAACGCAAG